CCCTGTAATTTCTCATTTTTTATGTGTGCTCCTTTGCTTTCCTTTGCTTTGCTTTTCTTTTCTTTTCTTTTCTTTTCTTTTCTTTACTTTCCTTTCATATACAATCAATTTCTCATATTGGATTTTCACCCATACTTCCTTTTATCATGCACTTCAACACCCTCTCTTTATAATCAACGAAACAATCATACCCGCTTACTCTCTAATCTATGCCTCCCCGTTTTCATTGAAATTTCAATCGATTCTATTCTAATGCGCATCCTTACTTGGTTTCGCAGAAAGCAAGCTCGAATTCGCGTTACTTTACCTCTCACCTTGCATACACAGTGCTGCTGAAACAAGGGACATATTCTTCTTGGGTTGTGACACTTTGGCTTAGGTTCCCTTTTCTATCTTTCTCGCTCTTATCTCATGGTTCAGTAATTCAGGCTTCTTCCCATTTCTCACTTTAAGATCCCGTTTCTGTTTCTGAAAATTAAACATCCATTCTTGTCTTTACGTTTCCCAATTTCAACTAGCTAATCTCTTTTTCAATGGGACAAAACTAAAACTTAGATATGCACCTCTTTGTTTTCTTATATTTCCCTGACAAGAATTGGAGTTTGAGAAAAAAAAATCATTTCAAAGATCAAACTAGGCTGCTAGATTTTAATTCTGATTAGAGAGCTTAGCTAGTACAAAAATAGGTAGGCAAGTGCATCGGAGTGTTAGGCTTACTCTGTGGGTGTATCGTATCCTGGTTATTCTTTATGGTTTTAAAGGAAGGAAAGCTCGCGAATTGAAATTGTCATTTTTACCTGTGCTGCAACCTTTTCAAAAGGAAGACGTTTTACTTTTGAGTTACTTGACACTATATTTCTCCATTCTGGTTTTGCAAATTTCCTTATTCCGGATTTGGTTATGCATTTCCCTCTTCCTCCATTGGGTGTGGTTTCATAGTAGTCAGAATGGTTATTCGAAATCTACAGGAAAACATTACAGTATTTTCCAAATCCGGGAATTACTCAAAATGGAGGTACCATTTACGGGAACCTGCCAATAGGTGGATGGTGGGGAAAGTGCCATGAGTTGAGATGCCATCATTACTACAGATTAAAAGTTAGAACTGTAAAGGGGAGAGACATATGTATCCACTTTTACGGCATACCAATCATCAAGAGTTCAAACATATTCCGATTTATATATATATTTTTTGTTCATGCGTTGGTCTGGTTTGGTTACTATTCAGCTAGCTACTGCAAGAATCTCGAATCGATCGAAGACGCCAGTGAGCTATCTATCACAAGTAAGGGGCGAGTTTAGGCTTCTATCTATCACAAGTAAGGGGCGAGTTTAGGCTTTATGTATCTTGTCCTAAAATGTCAAACGTGTCTCAACTAGTGGTAAAAATTTCCTCTACCAAAAAAGTTTGTGAATGTAGCTAAATTTAATGGCGAAGTAGGTTAACTGAAAAATTAAAAGTCAATTTCAAAAGTCATGACAACCACCATCCTAAAAAAACAAAAAAGAGAGAAGGAAGAAAAGATTGCAATAAAATATAATTTGATTTGGAAGTAAGATCTATATTCAAATAATTACCATAGGTCAGAGAATTGATTAATAAGAGCAACATTCTTTGCAAAGGCACAAGGTTTGTGTTTTTCATTCAAAGAAAGAAGCAGGTCGATGTGCTGAGCTCAAAGTGGACAAAAGCGCAAGACAGTTAGTTGACTATGAGAACTAATGAGAAGTGCTATTAGAGAGAGAAAGAGTAGCAAGTGCGTTCACCATTTCGCCAACTACATAAAGGTCAAAAAGTGCATGTGAAGATATAAAACTGAAGTAGTCATTGTACTCCTATATTAGGCTGATTTTGCTATTAGTGCGCCCTCACCGGATCATGCGAAAATAACAGGGAGATAATCATGGTGTACTTCGACTAAACTGTTTGATTTTGTTTTGGTTTTCTTTTTATTATAATAATACTTTAATGGATATGTAGTAAAATAAATAAATTATATAGTCAACCAATTAAAAATTAGTTTTGGTGTAAGTTTTGTGTGCGATTACTATAAAAGTTAATAAATTTTCCGTATAAAGTAGTTTGTTTGTGATTCAATAATACAGTAAAAATATTTTATAGCTAGATCATCAATATTAAATGGTTGAAGCAATATTAATTGTATTCATCTTTTTCATTGTTTTCATGCTCAAAAGTTGAAAAGCTCTGAATTTATCTGGGTCATTAGTCGATCGATGTCTATTTTTGTATAACTTAACGGATACTTATAGATAAAATGTATATATATATATATTTTTGTCTATTTAATTGAATGCTCTTGTGTAGTTTTTTTTTTTTTTCTGTCAATATGGGATAAGACCATTAATATATTTTTTTTCTTTCTTTCTTATAGTTAACCTGCCGTTTTAGTCTTTAATAGTATCTTTGTTTGAACAAGTACTTGCTTGATACTTCTAAGTAAAACACTTTATGAATAAAAATCGAATAACTTAGCGGATACTTGTTGATAAAATGTGTGCATATTGTTTTTTTGTCTATTTGCTGAGCTACCAGGAAGAGAATAAAAGAGTTATGTAGGATATTTATAAGGATAAACACATTTAATGTGTTGTTTTAGTCATTAATAATTTTTTTGTTTGAACACGAAACCGCTAGATACTTGTGAGTAAAGCATTTTTTTTTTGAATAACTTAACGCAAACTTATGAATAAAATGTATGAATACTTTTAATTTTTTTGTCTACTTTCTTATCAATTGAATGTTGTAGTGGTAGTTTGCTCTGTCAATATTGAGACAATATCATTTGTATTTTTTTCTTATTAATTAATGTGTCGGTTTAGTCTTTAATAATTTTTTTTGAACATGTATTATTGTACTTGTTAGATACACGTGAGTAAAACAATTTATGAATATAATTTAAATAATTTAATGAATATTAATGGATAAAATGTATAGATTTTTTTTTGTCCATTTGCTTATTAATTGAATGCTCTTGTGGTAGTTTTTTTGTTAATAGGAAACAAAATTATTAGTGATTTTTTTCTTCTTGTAATTAACGTACTATTTTAGTCTTTAAGAATATTTTTATTTACTTAATAATTAGGTGGAGACAAAATAATAAAATATACTATTATAAAACAAGCACGTGAAATTTAGTTCTCTAAAGGCTTACTAAGTTGAAGAGTTATCTATGATATATTAATGAAGCAAAATTGATCTATGGTATGTTAATGTAAAGACAATGAAGCAAAATTGTCTAAATTTTTTAGGGATGAGGTCAAAATAGTAAGAGTAACATGAAAGAGAATAAAAGTTATCAACCATTACATTTGAAAAATTAGACACACTTAATATTTTGGCGGTAGTTTTCTATGTTAATATCAACAATATGATTAGTGCATATCTTTTTTATTCTTATACTTAATATTACTGTGATGTTTTAGTCTCTCCTTTTTATTTTTTTATTTTTATTTTATTTTTAAATTTAAACATGTATCTCCTAGATATTGCATGAAACACTTCATGACTAAAATTTGAATAACTTAAAAAATTATGGATATATTTTTTTCTGTTTACTTATTAATGAGGCAAAAACAAATAATAAACTATTCATGTATCCAGGTGCTTATAATTTTAAATATAACTAATTGTTTATAAAGTAAGTTGCCTTAATTTGTTTTAACATAAATATGTTTTTTCTAGTATAAATATTAGCCATAAAATAGTTTAGGTTTGGTTTGGTTTGGTTTTCTTTTATTTTTATTTTGAATTTTTATGTTTTAACAAATATTTATGGATATTTGTGGAAACTTGCAGACATTCATAAAATTTGTAGGTATCTACTTGCAATGTTTAGTTACGCAGTGAACCACCCAAAGCAATACCAAGTAGGTTAATGAATACAATTTTCTTTCACTAAACCATTGCAGTAAGCACATGTTAAACATCATGGAGACGTAAGATTTCATTAAATCGAATAAATTAATGACGTGGAGTTAGTACATGTGTTAGCTTCATCTTTTTATCATCCTACTAAAATCTCAACAATTATAACATGCTTTTTTCAAAATTAAAAAAATGTCATTTTTTTTACAACCTCAACGTGTTAATGAGGTGAAGTAAGATAGAGGTTTTGCATGCCTTGGATTAGGATATCATTATCACCTGCTAAAATTTTAGCAAACTAATAAATGCCACTTTTTCTTTTTCAAAATCTTAGCCTTATGAGCTACGAAATCTTTTAAATTTCATGATTTTTTTTTGTCTGTGACCCTTTTAACTTTTTCTTCTCATTTAATTAGGTAAAATAAATTGGGTGTTTTATATAATAAAAGTGATGAAAGAAGTAGATTATAATGATTTAAAAAAAACTATAATTACAATTTAATTATAATTGAGGTACCAAAATTATACTTAAACCTAAATAGAAGTCATAATTGAGGTGGTGAAAGAAGCAAGTATTCGTATCCCGTACTCCATTGTGTTTTGTTTAGGCTAATGTCACTAAGCACTAAGCACGTGTGAACACTATTTTGCGGGAATTTTATTGTTCTACTATGTAGTTATTGTGCATGAATCTTTGTTACTTGTTCGTGGCTAGTTGCTGTTGAGGATAATGGTTTAGAAAAAGAAGGATTAGATGCATGTATTGTATTCTAACCTATTCCACAATGTTTATCCCTACAAAGCTTTTGGATAGGCTTGTCGGCCTTTTTCTGCATTGTGATTTACAATGCCTAGTTAACTATTCTTTTTGCCTATCATTTAATCTATTTTTAATTTATATTGCTAACTTTTTTTTATATCCTCTTGAAAATAGTAATTTTAATTCATTATTTTAGCTTTGTAAATAAGTTCATTTAAAGTTATTTATGTATTTTTTTTTATTTATAAATATGCGTTTTACCTTCGTTTTCTATTCAATCAAATAAGGGGAAAAATATATTTACTTTTTTTTCTATTAATGTTAGTATTTTACCTGGCACTGAACTATTTCTTATGGCAAATGGCCACAATTAGAGTTATTGATCTGTTTCCCACTTTAGTTTAGACTCTTCACCTATCGTGTGATTCGTGTCATGCCGAAAGAAGTAATCCTGCAATATTGATTAAGTGTAAGCCCATGGCCCAATTTCCCCCACTTGACCCTCCAGACTCCAATACCCATTGGGCCTATACTCGGACCTTTAACGCTTTTTGTTTCATCTCTGTATTGATCCTTATGTCAAAATAATTGTATGGAAAATACAAAGGAATCATTTTCTTATAGATTATCTTTTTTATACCCTTTTTATGCCCAAAATTCAAACAGGTAATTTTTTTCTTCTTTTTTTGTTGTTGTAAGAAATGGATTAATCTACTTACTTGAACCATAAAGCACGAATATTATAGCTCTAAATGGAAAGAAATGAAGAATATTACGAAAACTAAGTTGTAGGAATGTCTAAAGGAAGAGGATCTCAAACTTAATTTTATATATAAAAAAAAAAGGATTGACGGAGAAATTTGTAATTATAAATGGGTAATTTTCTTTTTGTCATTATGAACTTTTTGATTAAAACAAATTGCTTATTTCCTCGCACTAAAAGAATACATATGGTCAGACAATTTTATGATATATTTACAATTGTCTTTATATAACAAGTAGGAATAAGTATTTAGCTTTAAAAAAATAATCAAAGCACATTCATGATACAACTTAGAATTGACAAGTACATTTAAGACACGGAAAAATCAGAGATTGATGACCCCACCTGTCATCATGAACATAAGCAAATCTGGTGTATTTCACTTTTCATATAAATCATGAATAAAAGCAAAACTGGTGTATTTCATTTTTCATATAATGGGTTTTCATCAACCAAGATGAATCTTACGCCATTAAAATTAACTTCATAGTTGGAGTAAAATTTGCAGCACACATAATCTCAAAAGGTTCATATTAATATGATATAATTAACTTGTGTAATCCATCAAGAAATAATGAAGTACCTTTACAAAGAATATTGGAACTGGATCATTCTCCTAATAACTAAAAAGTACTTTCCGTGGGTCAAGTTGACCACTACAATAACTTGAAGGAACTGCAGAAATTTCTTGCCTTCCTTTCCACTCTTCACCAGGTTTAAGAGTAATTGCTTTTTCTACACAAGCAGCTTGAACACAAAGCATATGTTTATAATCAGCATCTCCTAAATCAGGTATGCTTTTTGATTTCTTGTCCCACGGGTTCCATACCACTACAGAGAAAAACACAATAAAATTAAACATCAAAGCAAACTGTTTTTAACACTATACCACAAATAACAAACCACATCAGTTACCATGTCCTAAGCTTCCACAACAATATTTTGGGTACGGAACAAATTATCATATAACAAATTTTTAGTAGAACTACTTACAATATATATTAAATTTTAACAATTTAATAATTAAAATTAAAGTATACAAAATTTTAAAAATATTTTCTAATTTGTTATAAAATTCAAATTTATATATAATATAATTTTATATTTTATAATTTATTAAATAGTTTTATAATTTTGTAAAAATTTATAAACTTATTTAATAAAAAATTTTAATTTAAGTTTTTGGTCATTGAAATATTATATATAGTATTGAATGAAGTAATTCCACTAAAATTATTAAATGACTTAGAGTTAGTAATTTGATATTCTCTCTTTATCTGTCTCTCCCTTCCCTTTCCTCTTTCTCTCTTTCTATATATATATATATATATATATCATTTCAACATAATATAAACTGGTAAGCGTATAATCTCATGAAAATCATTCTTAACAATGTGTTTGTCTCAAAAAAAATAATAATAAAGGAGATGAAAAATACATAAAAAATTTCTAGACAATTGCTCGTACCTACTTAATCTTCCAATATTGTAGGAAATAAAAAATGGGATGAGAAAGATATTAGGGTCCCTTTACTTATGCTTACATTTTTTTGTTCTCACTTTTTAATTTAAAAAATTGTCACATTATTTTTAATTTATTTCCTGTTTTCTTATGTTCGTACAAAAATAAAATAAAATATTTTCAATGTTTCTTGGAAAACTATTTGAAAATAAAAAACAAAGTAAACATAAGATGACAATTCTGTAAATTAAAATTGAAAATAAAATCAAAAAATAAAAAATTAAAACACAAGTAAGCCAACTCTTATGTCAAACCAAACACATAACTTAAAGGTTATTCATTATGGAAAAGTGTATAACTTTAATGAAACAATTTTTTCTTGAAGGATTAATCATTTTATAACCAGTATCTGCCATAACGTTTTTTTTGAAAAAATAATTATTTGGCAAAGATAAGCAATAATTCTTTTAAAATAAATTGATCAAATTAACATGTAGTTCTACTATGGGACATGACAAATCCTTGCGGAATAAACATATTCACGCCATGAGGTAACCAAAAAAAATTGTACAATTACTTGATCATCCATTTTTATGCATTTTCTCTTCTAAACCTTCATCATCTCACATATCATTTGATCATGTGTATAATAAGGAAGGATATTAATCTTAGTAAACTAACCTGCATCAGGAAGCCCATCTTTCCTCAATACAAAGGTTCTCTTCCTTTCGTGATCTATGATAGCAATTTTTGTCGGAGTGCTTAAGTATACTTTGTCCACCTTTAGCATCAATGAAAGCAAAATAAATTAGTTATATATATAGCTGAACTCATAATATATAAATAACATAAGACACTGGAACTGATAATGAATATTAACTTCAGACTCAAATGTTATAGCATCTCCTTGTTCAGTAAATCGTTCTTTATTCTTCAAGTTGTCCAGATAATCTAGTGTCTCTAATCCTTCAATTCGCACTTCACTGGACACAAGTAAGGTGACAATTAGCTTCAAACAACACAAGTCATAAATCTCAAAGCAATGCAACTCTATGCTATTGGACAAAACTAAATGCAAATATCAATACTCATATATGCAAGTTTCTGGAATTAATTAAGCAGAAGATTAATTATAAAAATAAAAGTTCCATATTATAATAGATTAAAATTTGGTGCCTTTGTATGTTGTTGAATAACATTTCAAAACTTGAGCACCATTTTTATGTATCGATTACACATTTTGTATTTGTGTTCATGTCATAAATTAAGATTTGAATTTCCAAAACTTTATAAAAAGGTAAAAACATATATATGTTTCACTAGTGATCAAAATTTTAATTATTAAGAAAATGATTCATCAAAGCTACATTCATTTCTCATGGTACAATAGCATTAATAACAAAGTTTTGACTCTCCTAGACATTTATCAAAAGATTAATAATTGAAATTGTAATTAACTTCAAAATTTGTTGTACATGTATTTGGTTTTTATACAATTATAGTTGTTAATTATTGAGAAAATGATTCATCAAAGATACATTCATTTCTCATGATACAATAACATTAATAACAAAGTTTTGACTCCCCTAAACGTTTATCAAAAAATCAATAATTGAAATTGTAATTAACTTCAAAATTTGTTGTACATGTATTTAGTTTTTATACAATTATAGTTGTTAATTTTTTAATAATGACTATAAGTGTATTTTATTATCTAAAGTATACCTCATGCTTTAAAGGAGAGTCACAACTTGAACAAGCAATGAGTTACAACATTTAAAGAAAGAATAAAACAAGAATCTTCTTATCACTTAGAATGTAAACATGTATTATAAGCATGATTGCATGAGAAAATAAGTATATTGAAGCATGCATATATATCACTTAGTATTCAAGGCAATTATAGAACCTGACGTCAGTAACATATAAGTATGTATTATAGGCAAATGTGAAGGTGAATGATTTTCCATCTGTATTTGTATTTCGAATGCGAGATGTCAACATCAGATCTCCTGCAGGTCCCAAAGCTATCCTCAAGCGAAACTCATATCTATAAGCAATTATTATGAAATATTCTTTTAATCCAAGTTATTAAATCCAAAACATAAAAAAAAGGATGCGAGAAAATTAACTTATTTGTTTTATAATTGCATCAGTAATTATTTAAGCCAAGTTATATGTATACCTATGGGGCCAACTTTTTGTTTCTTCTTCAGAGTTCTTAAGAATCAAATCAATGAAAGCTTTGTTGTTGCTAGTTGTTGCAAATGGCGGAGGATTAGGATCTAAGGTCCAAAACCTATTCCTGGCAAATCCATGGTTCTCGAGAGAACCATGATTTGAAAACTGCATATATGTAGATAAGAAGTACTTAAAGAATGAAATGCAATAAAAAGAAAGAAATTAATTAACCGAAAAAGATAGACATACTTGTGGAAAGCATATCGGAATACCTCCACGTATGGCTTTCGGAGGCTTAAAACTAGTCTGCAACAATTGATGTAGAATATAGAAGAAGAAAAAATGATTATAAATAAATAAAAGAGTGGACAATTAAATTGATTGCCACGACATAGAATATTAAAGCCATACTCGAAAGGGAAAAAAAGATGAATTCCATGTATATGTGAAATGGGGAATTAATAACGATATATTTGCAAATGAAACTTGAACCTTACTACTGACAAAGAGCAATTCCTCCCCTAGTTCATTCTTCCATGATGTAACTTGGCCACCATATAGATAAACCTAGACAAAATAGAATGTAGAATAGAACGCGATAATCGATATATTGTTGTAATTGGAAATTGATATGTTTATGGATCGTAAAATAAAATTGAGAATGGCAATAATGAAAGGATAGATCGAAGAATTGTGAATGGGACGAAACCTCTGCAGAGAAGCCGCGAACTTCTCTAAGAATGATTTTCTCGAGGCCATTGATACCCATGCACTGTTGCACGTACACCATTTCTCGTGACATTATTCTTTTGCTTCAGATTCACGATTCACGTCCTCCTTTCCCGATCCTATACTATATATACCTCACCTCATCTTCATGCTAGGAGAGAGAAAGAGAAAAGAGTTTGGGGTTGGCATGGAGTATAATTTATTCATCATTCATTTTATGCATTCATGCATATATATTAATATAATATAATAATATAATAAATTACATTGACCATCTATTCAACGCATGACTTTTTGTTTCATTTACTTTATTTATTATTTTACTAAAAATCATTACTTTGCCCATTTGCTCAAGCCCTTTGCAAAATTATCAATTTCTTTTATTTTTTTTATGCTAGTAGAAGATAAGTAATATTATTAAAAAATAAAAGTTTAATAAATTAATAAATAGTAAGAGCTATATATATATATATGTATTATCAATTATATAAGTGTTATTAAAATAATTTAATTCGAAATGTATATTACAAAAGATTCATTAATTTTTATTTTCTAATTGTTAAGCATTTTATATTTGTTTAAATATACGACTTAGTTAAACTTAAATAATTTATATATTTATAAATGTAACCTAATAAGAAATATTTTATTATTTTTAATAATATATTATAATAAAAATACCAAGGTGATATGTCTTATTATTATTTATATATAATATATTTTAACCATTGTTATATATAAAATAAATATAAACTAAAACTAAATTGTATTTATTGAAAAGAAAACAAAAAAGATATAAAGTAAAAAAAAAGTTGATATATTTAAAATTTATCAATATTACAATGCAATTAATATGCACTTCATTATAATAATGATCAAAATAATCGTATAAATAATGTAAAATTATTTATAGCAATATATGCCAACAATTGTGGATGAATATACCTTTAATTTTTAAGAAAAAACAAATATTTTTAGTAATTGTCATTAACCAATTCTAAATAATCGCTCAAACTATTATATATATATATATATATATATATATCATTTTTTGTTTATTTTACTTTTATAAATATTTAAAGATGCGAAGTGCTTCTTTTTCCTTGTATTTATACTAATATATATAAAGAGGATATTCTTTTTAATAATCACATTAATCTTCACATTTTGTTAACCATTATACCCTTTATTTTAAAAAATATATAAAAATGATATTTTTAATCAAATTCAAGAACTTGAAATTAATGCACTAATTATAACATTGATTAAACCAATATACTTTTATTATTTTATTTTTTATTGTTATTTTATCTTTAATAGAGGCACAAAGTACCTCGACCCCACTAGTATAATATAAAGAGGATATATTTTGGTAATTATCTTTTTTATTTCCATTTTTTAGTGGACCATTATACTTCTTGAATGTAAAAAAAAAATATTTTATATCATCTCTGAATAACTATCTACAACTTCTAATATTTATATATCTGTGTAAATTATTAGATGTACAAAATACCCCAACCTCTCTAATTATAATATAAAGAGAATATGTAAATTTTGTGGATACATTTTTTCCATTCTATTTTATCCCATAACTTTACAAACTATTAACTATTATTTTTATCTTCTATTTTATTTTTATTATTTTTTTTAAACCAAATACACATAGATACATTAGATTATTTTTCCTCTAGTAATACATAAAGTTGCATTTTACTATTTGAATTTTGACTCGGTCTTTAACAATTAATAACTATCACTCTTCTTAATTGCTAATATTGTAATTAAATATTTTTAAATTTAAAGTCTTTTTCGTTACTAAAGATATTCCTTCATCGAGCATAAGAACTAATTTTTTCAAGAGTTTGACAGATATCGAGTAAATAGACATCCTTTCTCAACTTGATTTTTTTCATTTACAAGAGTTATAATGCGATCTAAGCATTTAGTCAGAGCATGACAACTATATTAGTTTTTTTATGCCAAAAACTATATTAGTTTTTGACTTCATGTTTTTATTAAATAGATAATTATTATTTTATTAAAATCTACAATTAATGAAAACTCTTTCAATGTTTTATTCATAATATCTTTCTTTTAATCCTTATTAGTTGTACTTTTATTAATTTTAGCAGTCTTTTTTTATACTTTTTTTGCCTTTTTTATTAATTACATTTGTTTTTAGTAGAACTACATGTAAGAAAATATAAGACTTAGGGAAAATTTATTTAAAGGTATCATTTTGTATTTCCACGAATAAGATTCCCAAAAAATAATTCAAGTAGGAATTTTATTTTTGGATATATATGAAAAAATGTTTAAATACTTTTTGATATTTCTAGGAGTATCAAAATAAATTAAATAATTAAAAATAGAATTTACATGTGTCATAAAATAAATTCTCATATTCAGATAAAAATATCACTCTCACCCCCTTCATCATGGGAATGAAAACTCCTAGAACATGAGAATGTAATTTTTCTGAAACTAGAAGATATGCGAGAATCTTGTAGCGTAACCTTTTATCAAACATAAAAAAAAATATTTTTACATTCATATTTTTGGAAATAAAAAAAGATGATGAAATAAACTTTTCTTTAGAAAATGATAAAAGTGACTCTATGAGAATTAGAACCGATGACGTTTACTACCAAATTTCTTATTTAAATCATGAAATCATCTAATTTTTAAGTAACAATATGAACACGTACTATACTGGATTAGTTTGTTTTAATTAAAAAAAAAGTCATTAAAAAAAGTTTTTTGAAAAAAAATTAAAAAGCAAATAGAAGTTGTTTCTTAAAAACAATAAAATAATTACTTATTTTTAAAAATAAGTAGGTTAGTCAAACACATCAAAAGATAATAAATTTGTTTATTTTATTAAAAAGAATGTTATTTTTATGTATAAAAAAAGTCTTAATAAGCGAGTCATTTATACTGTATGGGTTAATTATTTTTCCAAATTTTTATTTAATGCTAAATTTAATTTAAAATTAATAAATAATGAATTTATAAAAAATAGTAAATAAATTGTATAATTTATTATGTAATATATTTTTATACAATAAATATAACATATACAATGACTTTTTTCTTTCATATTTTTTTTAACTCTTTTTTTTCCTTTTCTTTTAATACAAAAGTAACATTATAATTTATTTCAATATTTTCAATTTTATATTATTTATTACATTAAAATATATTAAATAATAAATATATCAAAGTTGTATTGTTTATTTTATTTATTTTTCTATCCAATGATTTTAATTGACTCAAGCAATATTGTCATTTATCTCCCATGAAAGATACCTGTGATCTCTGAAAAAAGAGTCTATTATTTACTCTATTTTTTCATCTAATAAATATGTTATATTATTTAATATATTTTTCACTCAATGCGTATAATTTATTAATTCAATATGTTTTCTCATCTAATAAATATAAATACACAATATTATATACATAAAATAAAATGAAATTATATTTATTATTCAATATATGTTTATACTATAAATAATATAAATTTTATAATATTAAAATAAATAATACTAGCGTTAGTGATGTATTACAAAAATGAGAAAAAAAAAGACTTAAAAAAGATTAGATAGGCAAAAATGATTCTAAATATTTATTGCATAAAAATATATTAAATAATAGATTATATAATTTATTTACTAAAAAATATTTTTCTTTTCATCTTATTAATTTTTTATTTGTTAATTTTAAACTAGGTTTAATATATTGGATAATTTTAAAAAAAATTCATACAGTAATATTATATATAATATAATGTTCACATTTTAACTTAAAAAGATAGATATCCTAATGATTTAAATAGTGAATTTGATTTGTGGTCATCTATTATGGATCATTGTAATTACAATTTTTTGTAATGATTGGAGAGTCATAAACAATGGTGAAGAGATAAATAATATTTTTGAATTAATTAATTAAAATGTAATAATACCGTAAATACTTTTTATATTTTATTTAACTTAAAGTGCATGTGAACTGAGATGATATCCAAACAAAATTTTAGTAACTATCTCTTCCTATATGATACTAATATGAAAAACATTATGTTCATAAATATTGTATTTAAAAAAGCCTCGTATGTATTTTGACCCGTTTTTGGTGGTTGAGATTTCCAAGCCGAAAACTAAGTTGAGAGTGGGAGCGAGTCAACCATGCATCCCATTTTTCACTCAAATTTTATTATATCATGTCACTTTATTATAATGATAAATTAAAAAAAAATCCCCATATTTGTTGTTCATTTTTAAAGTGCTTAACAATTAAAAAACGCTTTTTAAAAAAACAAGTAAAAATCGATTATTACCAACTTCATATTTTTCCCATTGAAGAGCAAGTATCGAAATCTCAGCATTTTAATCTCAAAAGAATAATGAATGAAATCTAAGGACTAGGAATATAAGACCCGAAAATACCGTGTGCATAATAATTTACAAGCAGGAAATAATGCTAAAATAATTTACAAAAACAATTATCAACTATGAATCTGCTCTAACGAGAAAACTATGAGTAAAGTTTTTATCTACTAAATGATTAAAAAAAAAAACTACAAGTGGCATACCGCCTTATATCTAGTCTAAGGATTTCGTATTGGTCGTTATTCTCCATTCTTCCAGCACTTCAATTTTTTGAGAGTCCATGATGAATGAACTTAAAATTGAGTATTCCAAGCACCCACTTAATCCAATCACTTCTGAAGTCCAAATACAAGCATCCATTCCACAAGGCCAATCACACCTAAGATTTACAAGTTAGAACGTCAAATCCATAATCCAAAAGTAAGATCGTAGAATATTGGGTGCAATATATTTTGATACTAACCTGGGCGTTTTCTGTTTTCAATTTTTGAAGCTCCTCCTGGGTACAGATAAGCCTACATGTCACAAAGCAAAGACTAAGATACACCGATATTTCACTATATAATTTAATCCAACTATTTTTTATAATACAATACCTCCACTGCAACTCAGTTATCTCGTGAAGTAACTCCTTCTCCCTCTCGTGAGCTGTTTCAAGCTGCAGTAATGCATAACCAACATCTTTGATCAAAAGGTTTTCCAGCAACCTAGACTAGAAGTGAACCCTAAGAACTTTATCGAACACCTTTCTTGCAATTGTAATAAAGCTAACCTCTCATATTTACTTTTGAGAAGTCCTTCATATTAAATAATTTTCTGTTTCACAACCTTCATATACTTAGTTGGCATTATTATTAAATTACTATAATTCAACGTTCCTATACGGCAGCAAAAATGTATATAGTTTTCAGATGGCATCCTCAAATAAATTCCAATGAGTTACAATGATTATAAAAATTAAAAAAAAAACCCTATAAATACTTACCAAAGATTTCTCAGTTGCTGCTATCTGTGCTGGGGTACATGTGCCATCAGCTGCGCGGTTGACAAATTTTTTTGAAAAGAATGGCATATAAAAGAAAACAATGAAAAAAGCCCTGAACAAAAAATTTAAACAAAAATAGTTCTTTGGTAGAACCTGTTGAGTCACTGGCAGTTATTTGCTTCATTAAACTTAAAATGCTCTCCTATTAAAAAGTCATAAACAAAAAACATTTACTTGTGGACAATAGCTGAAGGAGACTGACACCATAATTCACAAGGCCATAAGGCTGAACATACCCTTTGAAGAATATTTGTCTGCAGTACAGAGTGCAACACAGAAAACAGAGAGCCGCCAGCAAGATTTGATGGTGTGGCTTCAGATGCTGGTAGTAATGGCGAAGTTGTATGCATAGAAGCGACATTATGCTGGCTAAAAACCTACATAACCCATGTCATTTCCATGACATGTTCAGTAAATTAGGAGTTACATCTATGTGACTCTGTCTGATATAGTTATATGATTTAATGGCACCATCATATTATTTTATAGACCCACTTCTTCAAACCAAATGAACCCAATAATACTAAACACATTGCGACACTTCCATTTTCTCTTAAAGAAAATGGTAGTAGCACATTCTGGAAAGATTAGTGGCAAATCAAACGCCATCAATGCCCAAGTCAATGCAATAAGAATAAGAATAACAAAAGAAATAGCAGCAACAACAGTAATAAGGTGATCATCATCATGGTAAAATACTTACGCATCCTCTGTAAAGTGAAAGGAAGTCAGAAATGTCGGGTTGGATGCAGGTGTAATATTTTGTAATATACGGTAAACACATGTTTCAAATCTATCTACCAGTTCTTAATAAATAAATAAAAATTCTATGTACCAGTGGAAATTACAATTGAGGTATTAAAAGGCTGATTTAGACCGAGACATGTATTTTTGGGGTTTCTCCCATACCCAAGGGAAGAAAACGGACAGTTATACAATCTTCAAAACCACAAACCTGCATGCTGTGACTCTTTTGCAGTACAGGAGAAGGGGCCACCTGAAAGAAAACTTCACTTAGTATTCAGTCTTCAAGAAAGGAGAATGATTAGTAATAGAGTTATTACTCACCTTTTCTGGGTCAACATTCTCGGATGTAACCTTAAAACGTCCTCTCTGCTGTACAACTGGCACCTTTGATTTCTCATCAGTGTCATCAGAAGTAGCTGCCACAAGAACGAAATATTAGTCGGAAATGCTGGAGTAATCATTGCAGGCTTCAAGAACTCAGCTATATGTCTGTTCTCTAAAAGAAAGAAAAACCAGCAGTATCCCTTGATGTTGACAACAAACCAATTGAACGGATGAATTAATATGAGCAAGTACCCGATGATTTTGAGACTCTAGAAGGAAGTTCAGTAAGCACGTCCTCTCCTGACTGTGTAACTGCAGTTGCACTGCAACTCGAAACGTTCTGAGGCAGATTTTGTGGTTTATCACTGTCATTTATATCGCTAAATATTAATGCTGATCACAGATAAATTATGATACTCAAAGGGTTAAGGGAATGACTTAAGGGTGTCATTGTAGAGAAAACATTATATTCGAAGGGATTTTTACAAGATTTAAAACAAACAAATTAAAGTATTTATAGTTATAATATAATAGTTAAATTAATTAAAAACAACATTTTATATATAGTTATTAAATAATATAAAGTTAATCGATCTATTAAAAAATACATTTTTTTCTCTCGACTAAGAAATACCTAAAGTCCACCCAAAAAAAAAAAAAACAAAAATTACTCATATTTGTTATGACTTATATTTGTGGAAGCCGATCTGCCGTTATTTATTCGCCCTCATAATAATCAAAATAAAAGGGATCGCTGATATTAATGTTAGTTAGAATTACTTACACTTTTTTAACATTCTTTTACTAAATATTTTAAAATTCACTATCATATTTCTATTTACCCAAAATTATTTAATACGTCGTTAATATACAACAACATTAATTGAAATATAAAAATATTATTTGATTATATTCTTCTTATTATTTTTTACTAGAATTTATACAAACAATCAAGATAATTAATAGTTATAATTTAGTAGTTCAATTGATAAAAAAAAAAAAAACACAATTTATATAAAATTGAAAAATGGGTAGAAATATCAAGTATCACAATAATGTATATTTATCTCTCTACCAATGATAAATATACAATTACTTGCTTTCAATTATGTTATTCGAAAACCACTTACCTCGATGCCCGAATATTAATTCATGTTAAAATCCAATAAAATTTTATTGTCTAATGTCTATTTTAAAGAGGGGAAAAGTGGTATGGTCTATAAACAAATAAACCTACTTTACACTATTTGAAAAAGAAGCCCCTTGAGAAACTTTAGACATTCTTTTCAAAATTCAGACAGTTCTAAGATTCCTGAATACAAATAAAAGACTGACCGAAACAAATAGGATTTGTATGCTTCTTGAGAATGTGAAATTTAACTTGTGTGACAGAGTATCATCCATCATGGGTCGGTAGCTGCAATTACTTTGACTCCCTTATTATAATTATCAACATTAGAGTATTGGTTTCAGATTTCAAAATCAGTTGGTCAAGTTCTTTAAGAAAAAAAAAATACACCATTACATCCTACCTTCCATAATTAGTCAAAGTTCGGTAATAATAAAAAAAATATATTAAAAAAAACAGAAAAACTGTCTTTCCTAACAGTGAAAGCAAGGAAAGAAAAATTCTTAACTTTCTATACTTCTATAGTGGAATAAAAACTAAACGAAGTGAAAAAAAAATGTAGTCATAAATTACTACTTGCATTGTATTCATTCAATCCGTTGAATTGGATCAAGACACTTAAAACTTCAATAATATATAGCAACTGGTAATTATTTGATATCTAAAAGATAGTTATACTACCATTAGTGATATAAACCAGAACATGCTACAAATTAATCTCATCAACTTAGCAATTTTTTTAAAAGCCAAATGAATATAAATAAATTGTAACCAAACTTAGCACAAGGTGTCGCAAAATTTAGAAACAAGGAGTGAAAGATACAAGAAAATAGACCTGAACAAGTTACAGCCCCACAAATAACAAAACCAAGTATCCACCAAAAGACATGGCTACCTATGAAGAGATTAGGGTGACATAGCCACACTACAAGCCAAAAGAAAACCTCATTTGCAAAATTAAATGGCCTATAACACTTCGACATGTGAATGTAATTTATCAAATCACACATTCTTTTTTATGTACAGATGTACTCCTTTTTCAATATAAAAACTGACATAATCCAAAAAAAAAAACACCATTGAAATTGGTTTTCTTCTGAATGAGGAAACAAAGTTCTACCAAGGAATGAGAACAACTAGAAAAACTCAATGACAGACACCAAATAATCCATTATGTGATATATCAACGATTGAAATACTGAATTAATGATGAAACTAGCTTGAAGTTGAATGATAAAACTCAGATAGTGACATATGGAGGTGTTGGCTGAATTTGAATTTTGACTAGAGTTAGGATTCTTGAGTTCAAGTTAACCTAATCTAAGTTATGAAATAACTTAATATAGTTTAACTTGCACCACAAGCTACTAAATATATCCTTTGGAAGGCACTATATCATCAATTAAGCATAGTCTGGCCCAAATATTCAATATGAGTGAATAAAGTATAATGTTCCAAAGTTCATTATACATGACATGCAATGAAATGGACTTTGTTAATGTAGGTAAAAAAGATATAGTAAGCCCATCCTCTTCAAATTAAATATGCTTAATGACCTGAGAACCAGGTTCAGCCATTCCTAGAGGATGGGCTAATGAAGAAAGCCCAAATTTATGATTGGAATGATCAAGCCTATCCAGGCCCATCAGAGGGAATGAGGGGTTGAAGAAGGACACCACATCAGCCAGGGCAGGCTTGGCAATCACAACAGCCCAAATGACAAGCTCTGCCATGATGAAAATAACTAACACATTCTCTTCTAATTATTAAAATTTATTGAAAACCACAAAATCATGAGTGAGATTTATTAAATAACAAAATTGTGATTTTCAATAAATTTTAGCTAATAATATAATGTGTTAAAAATAGTTTGTTGCTAACATTTCTCAACAACAAATGCAAAAGCAGTTTTTGAATATAAACATAATGCAATATACCAGAAAAACTAAATAAAAATTAACAAACTCTCAATGCATAATTTTAGTATTCACCTTTCTGGTCGAATAGGTGGAAGGGTAACTTCAGGTAAGATGCTTGATGAACATCCTCTTCTATGATAATAATGGGTAGACACAACCTCCGCGGATCTTCCACCATTTTCCATATCAGATTTTTCAGCCAAATTATTGTCCACGTGATCATCAAGACAGAATGTAGAAGTTTGTGGTTCATGGCTTGAACTGGTGATGCTAGAGTCATCATCAGATTTTTCAAACTTAGTTCTGAAAATGGCAAGACATGATAACAATTGGATTAATTCGATCCATCCTTTTCAGACCTGTAGAGACAGGTATCATTTATTTCAAAATATAGGATCCCAAGCCAAACAGAAACATTAGCCCATGATGTTATTAACTTATAATCTCACAAGTCCTCACAATTTGAGTATCACAAAAAGAATAAATTACTAGATTTGACATCATATGCATATTAGAAGCATACTTGACATCATTTACTGCAGAATCAACTACCGGAACAGAAGCTGATTGATTTCGCATCTCATCATTATCTTCCTGTGAAGCAATATTTTTTTTTAATAAGAAATGTAAGAAAAACAAAAGAAAAAAAAATACAGCTATTACAAATATACTGCCTATAATCCTAACATGTAGAAAATTAACTTATAAATACCAAATCAGCAGATTGAGAAGGGCGGTGATTTGCGATTGGCATTTGTTTATCTTGTGAATCAAGTGTAGATAAAGAACTTGAACTTGCTATATGATTGATATCTGATATAACATCGTCGAAATCGTGGATCTAGAAGAAGTAAAACCTCTAATTAGAAATTCTATAACTGCAGAAGTCACATGTTGGTTGTGAATTGTGAGGGAGAAAAGATTGGACATGGTGTGTACCAAGGAAGCCTGAGCCTTCATGTCTTCAAGATTGAAATTCCAACCACTAATTCCTCGTTTGTATTCACTCTATCGAGAATCAACACAAAGATGCTATAAGCTTTGTGATACTTGCAACTCGGTTACTCTAAGCAATTGAACTCAGTAATTGTTACCTGTGACAACTCCTCCATCTTTCCATCAGGCATTTTCTTTTGTGCGAGCATATCTTCTTCTTTTCTCTGCGATAGAAAAAACGGTTTATAAAAAATATAATACATCATTACAGGAGCCAGGACTGGAGGAAATTTATGGTAAAAATATGGGAACCTTTAGGGCCTCCATTCGATCACCTAGAGCAGGCAGCCCATCCAAAAGCTTTTTAACTATATAATCATTGCTGCGAGCCTGCTTAAAGAAGGAATGCTTTATCAACTTGCTTGCAGAAGGTCGCTTTGTAGGATCTTTTACCAAGCAACTAGCAATCATTTGCTTAAACGACTGCAAACAAAGAAGAAACGTATTGATTAAGAATAAATAACGAAGCAATCAGTGAATGTTGAAATTTAAGTATGGTAAGGTGAGGTGACCTTAGAGAACTTGCCATCCCTTTCGTAGTCAAGGCCAGGGGGTGCATTTTGAAGAGTCATGAGCAGAACCTGTTATGAAATCAGAGTGGAAGTAACTAACAAGAATGATGTGTTTGTGGTCTTTATTTAATTAGTTAACTAACTAGTAATAACATGCACACCTTCATCGGTGGAAACTTTGAGAAAGGAGCATGACCATGAGCAAGCTCCAACGCGGTTATACCGAATGACCATATGTCAGCTCTGGGAATGAATAATATATTAAGTGGGTATGCAATGTGCAGAAAAAATAGTAAAATGAATGATTAGTATGAAATAAAGAGAGAAATGAAAACAGACTTGAAGTTATAGCCGTGGAGTTGCTCCATGACCTCGGGTGCCATCCTGTAATAATTAATATAGTGAAGAAACCAATTAAGCAAAATGACATTGATCATGGATGAGTTATTGCAATGAAAAAGGTGAATGGAATATTTAATTTAATATACCAGCAAGGTGTTCCAACAAAGGTATTCCTCGTGCGTTGGCGGTCGCCGGAATCAAATAGGCAGGCAGAAACACCAAAATCGCCGAGTTTAACGGCGCCGCGCGAATCAATGAGAATGTTACCGGCTTTGACGTCACGGTGGATGTGTCCGTGATGGCGAAAATACTCCAAACCCTTCAAAACCTCTTTGAGAATGGTTGCAATGACAACCTCTTCAGAACCATCGGGATGCGCGGCTTTCAATATGTGGAGGCATGAACCGCCGGCCATGAACGGCATAACCACCCAAAGATTGTGCTCGCTGACGAAGGAGCAGTGCGATTTGAGCACGTTAGGGTGATCGACGAGGATCATCGTCTGAGCCTCACGAGAAACGTTGTTCTGCATCGGCATTTGATTAATTAATGTTATGATATTGCATTGCGTTATTGGTGGAATGGTGATTAATTGAGAGAGATGGGAAGGAACTTACGAGATCGCAATTGTCACGTTCGAAGTCGAGGATTTTGATGGCGACGACCTCGTTGAAGGGAACGCATAGCGCGCGGTGCACGGAAGCGCTTACGCCTTGCCCAATCTCCTCGTAGAGAAGGTAATGCTCGGCGCCGATAGGGTACTTCTTCTTCTCTGTCTCTTTTTCTTTGTCCTTGTCCCTCATGGTGGATCCGATTGGAAGGAAAATAGAAAGAGTGAGTGATTTTGAATCAAAGAAGGAGAGTGAGGTGAGGTCACGTGAAGATGGGTTCCGTTCCGCAGCTTTCTCGTGAAACCAGTGGGCTTTCTTTCTTTTTTTTTTTCTTTTTCTTTTTCTTTGTTAATCAGTTTCTTTGTTGCGGCCTTATCGGATGGCCACTGTTTGGGTTTGGAAATCTCCCCTCCCGCCACCTCTCTTTCTGCAACTAACTCCCCCGCCCCCACTGCTATTTCTATTCTATTCTAATTTCTAATTCTCCACCTCCTTAAATATAACATCACCATCATCTTCATCTTCATCTTCTAACCACAAATTTAATTACAATTATAATAACATTATAAGCTTTAAATCTGTGCTTTTACTCCTAAAATATTATTTTATTTTTTTTAATCATTAATGTCATATCATAAATAATAGAGATAAATTAAAATAGTATTTTTATATACTTTTAGAACTAAAAATATAATTTTTAATACTTTAAATTTAAAAGATTAAAAATATATTTAATTATATTTATATGAAGCTTTTTCTATCCATATTATACGAAGCTTTTAATTTTAAAAATGTTTATTGAATAAAATATTATTTTAATAGAGAATAATTATTGGACATCTCAGCACCAGAATGTCTGCACCTTGAGAGAAGGTAAAATATCAAAGGTAGATGTTGATATTAATAATAACATGAAATGCTCTCAAAGAAATTTCGAATTTATTTTATAATTCAAATTGGAATGAGGATAAAAAATATCACTTTATCTTTATACACATGATAAGAATGATCATGTTATATTAGAGAAAAAATATGATATGCTAAAAAAAAGTAAGGAGAATTTTTAAATGTTTATTTTGATTATTTATTTTTTAAATTTGAGTTAATTTACTTATTTTAAAATAATTATTATTTTTAACTATAAAACTTAATTTTAAATTTTTTTATTGATTCAATATTTGAAATTTATCTTGTTAGATTCATTTTTATGAAAATTATTGAACACAACTAAAATTTAAATAAAAAAAGTATCATAAACATAATAAAAATTGAATAAAAATAAATTTAAAAATTAATCAAAAATTTTAAAAGCTATAATTTTTTCATTATTTTATAGTTGTTCATAAAATATATTTTTCTACAATTTTTAGTCATCAATTGAATCTCATCATTTTCATAAAAGTAAATTTAATGTTACAAATTTCATGTCTTAAAAAGGTTCAAAATTAATTTAAAATTATGTTACAAGATGAAAAATAATCATTATATTAAAATGATTAAATTATTCAAATATAATATTAAATGACAAAACAAAATTAAAAAATTAAATAAAAAACCAAAATAAATTTTATAATAAGATAAAATATCAAAAGTATAAATTAACTTTTTTATTTCGAAATTTCTATTATATATGGCAGTGAGTTATAAAAGTATATGCACTTCAATTTTTTTAATTTTATTGATATTTTAGAAGATATCTTATTTAATGCGATACAATTTTATTAATGGTTCATAAATATCTTATTATACATAATGGTAATTAAAAATTTATTTATGTAATAAGGAAGTTAAAAATCTTCTTTGATTTGTTAATCAGCTGAAAATAAACAAATATCGGGTTAATTTAATATGATATCTCGTAAAAGTAAATGTTAAAAAAAAATGTGATTCCATGAATTAACGATGGAAATGAAGTAATGCACCATTCTATCTTCAAAAAATTAGATGTAAAAATGTATGAGTGGATTCAAACTTTCATCAATAATTATGCGCCCCGAAATTACATTCTATTGATGTTCAAGAGAAAAGTCATATAATTAAATTTTATTGATTTTCGATTTTACTGTCCAATAACTTAGTTATCTATAAATTCAAAATAATACAATTTAACCTAATTTAACATGGTTTAATTTTGACTTAATTAAAATAATACAATTATCGATTATAAAATTAATGATTAAAATTTATAATAAAACTGATTTTTTATAAAAAATAAAAAATAAAATTAATTAATTATAATATATATTATTGATCTTTTAATTAATAGTTATTATTACAATTTTCTTACTTTATTAATTTTACTAGCAAACATATTTGACATATATTTTTTTTAATCAAACCAATTTTACGGAATGATTTGATTCGATTCATTGAAATAAAATTGAAACTTTAACAGGTGTAAAAAGGTAAAATGAATCCGAATCAACCAAAAAATTTAACTATTTTGAAGATAAAAAACCTTTATAAAATAGTTATGTTTGATTTGAATCATTTTATAAAGTGATGTGGTTCATTTGATTCGTTTCATTTATTTATGTCGATATGAAAATACTCAAAATTAATAGGAATATATATTAGTACTTAAATTTTTGTTAAAATTTATTTTTAGTCTTTAAATAAATTTTATTTAATTTTATTCTTAAAAAATTTTCTTTATGAAAAAAAATATTGAAATCAATGATCAAAATATTAATGGAAAGAAAATTTAATGGGCTAAAATTGAAAATTCACAAAAGTTTAGAAACTAAAATTAATGAAAATTTTATTCAATGATTAAAAATAAAAGTCAACTAAAATTTAAATAACAAAATATATAATCCAAATTAATATAATTTTGAATGTGGTGTCTTGAATGTTGACTATTGAGTATAAATTAGTACCATTGTAATTTACATTAATCTTTATCATAATAATATTTTTTATTATTACCATGACTTTAAATGATAACAGAAATATCTTAGAGATAAAAAATAATAATAACAATGATCTTTAAATCTCTGAACGAAATAATCCAAAACATTAGGGGAAAAAATGGGACAATGAATTTTATTATTGAGTCTAAAACATTGGAATTTTAACTATTATGGACATGTTTGGGTAAGTCTTTTTTAAAAATATTTATTGAAAAGAAAACTATGGAAGAAAGACAAAATTAACTTTTTCATAAGTTAAAAATAACTTATACATGTGTTAAAAGTATAATATACAAAAAAAAAAAACTAATAGGAGATGACTTCTTCAAATAATTTTATTACATGAATCATGTGGTTTCAAATCATTTATAAAGTGTAACATGTTTGGTACAACCATTTTCACAATCATAGTTGTCATAATACTATGCATGAATAACCCTCGCTAATTGAAGTAACATTCATTTCCATGGGCAAAACTTCTAAAATTTTATCTTTACTATTATTTACAATCACAACATTAATAGATTAGTGTAATGACATGGTCATTACATTATAAAATAATACAACACACTACTATAATACATACTAAAATAATAAATGAAAATATTTACAACATAAGTTGTTAGGCAAGTAACTAAAAAATCCAACTATAAATAGCAAAATTTGTTACTATAAGGTAGCTTACAAAAAAAACATTAACTCCAGGGACCTCCTGTGGCCTCTAACAGTTATCTCCCAATCTATCCTTGCCCTACTCTCATACATCGTATGATCATAGCAGTCCAAACTATATGGAAACATGCAAGGATAAGTTAGAAAAAATAAACAACTCAATAATTAAATATGCAACATAACAACTATATAATCATCTTCATATCCAACACAAATAACAAACAACACATATCAACACTGATCAACACATATTCAACATCTTAATATCATTTCAACTTAATTCAGCATATCAACACTGATCAACACAGTATCAACACCTCAACACAACTACTATACAACTCATCATAATAGTTACCATATTCAACACAACAACAACCAATACACGTATTACACACCTCTCAACAACACATATTTAAAAGCAACTTACAACACAGGTAATTTAGCAACGTTAGCATCATCATCAACTTGTTCAACATACAACGCACAACACTTTAACAACTCATATCATCACAATATCAACTCATCAACACATATGCGTCGTCACGCATTTCAACTCGGAGATCTCCTAATAACAAAAACAGTCTAAGTGATTTCCACCCTACAGAACCAACCCAATCGTTTTCATGCCCGAAGCGTCAGCTCGATCATAGCAAAATGGGATACCAATCCCTCCTCTAGTTTCTCGGATCTCATCACTTACACTATGAAAGTCCGGTTCCACCGTCAGGAGTAGTACAGCTGGGTACATGCTTACCTCAACCTTGGCATGCATTACCAAGTCACATATGGAATTCGTCCACTAATTATCCTCAAGGAACCACGCAACCTTTCCAGGTACTTGGTTAAGGATTGTAGCCCTCGAGCTCCTACCTTACTCAACCACTAACTAAGGATTTGGAGGAGGCTCAACACACCTCAAAACCTACTCCAAGAGACACAACTACTCAAGGAGGGTTTTCCATACAGTGACCAACCCGAGCACCACTCCAAGATACCCTATGTGGGATCTTCAATTTTCAAAATCATTTTTCTCTCCTCAAATCCTAAGTTAGCCATCATGTTATAATGCCACACCGCATTCTCAGCATCCACACCATTCCATACATCTACTACATACATTACATCCAGTCATTGCATATAGAGATTAATACCATCAATCATGTGCAACATACCAATGCTTAATATCTTAACCAAAAACATCATACCGATGCTTAACAATTTATACAATAATAACATATAAATGCTTAACATCTCAAGCAAGAACAACATACTAATGCTTAACAATTTATACAACAATAGCATATCAATGTTTAACATCTCAACCAAAAACAACATATCAATGCTTAACAATTTATACAAAAATAGCATATCAATGCTCCACGATTAATTCAACATAACATATCAAACATATAAAAGCATACCAATGCTCTCACCATTTCAAGTGCACAAGGATAGCATTCCAATGCTTATTATCATTTCAAGAACACAAAGATAACATTTCAATGCTCATTCTCATCATCCTATAACACACAACTTGCAATAAACACAATCATTCTATTCATGTTCATCAATTTCACCCATATACAACATGTATCACATATTTCTACACTGACAACCTTCACATAAAATAACCCATAGGGAGTTCTACTACTCCAATCACTCTCATCCTTATCTCATATGAAAGACAAGAACATTTTCTAAAACTTTCATGAAGAACTCAGTTTATGATTCCCTCATCTACCACTTTAAAAATTGTAAAAAACCGCAACCATTTTGCTAAATATTGACAACTTGACCTTTGCTCACTAAAAAGGCCATAACTAGAGCTCTAAACCTCCTTTTTGGCCATTGGAAAGCTAACATCAAAGGCTATAACTTTCATAAAGACCTCAAGACCAAATTCGGTCATTTACTCTCACCGCTGCAGTGCTCAAATCAGCGTTTTAGTGCTGGATTTCTGCCAGCTTAGTTTCCTTTCCACGGACATGGCTGCAAGTTTCTTCCACTTCATTCTTTTTCCCACGGCCATGGCTATGAGTTTTAGAATTTTTTTAAATTCCATGGTTTCACCTTCGATTTTCACTCAAAATCCATCAATCTTTACCCTTAAACGTAATCTACCTTCATAATCTTCACTCATTTTGTTTATACAACTCAGAAACCCCAAGAAACACCACATGCATGCACCAAGATTTCAAGAGATCATCAAGAACAACAAAGTTTCATCTTTCGCAAGCAAATAACTTCAATTTCCTTTTCCCCAGTTCAGATTTTCAGAATTCACACAAATTTTGAGTTATCAACTCAATCAACAACTCCACAAATCATAAAAATCTAAGATTTCTAACTTTCCTTACCTTGAAACGGAGTGAACGATGAATTCTGAGCTACTCTGAAGTTGAAGAAGAAGAAGGAGATGAAATGGGAATCCGACTCCAGGCTCAAAGTCCTCAACTTCCCCTATTGCTCATTACCTTGGTGAATTTCAACACAACGAGTGAAGGTAAGTGAGTGAAGGAAGAAAAGAAAAAACGGGAAGAGAAAGAAAAAGTATAAGGAATAGAAAATTGAATGAAGGTTTTGGATCTCACAATTGGAGAATAGTTCTAGACAACATTCCACTAATTAAAATTTGAGTTTGGATACTTGTTAGCGTTTTAGGAGTCAACTTCATTGATTATGTAATTTTTTGTTTAAATTATTTTAGTGCTTGTTTAGATTCGCGTTATTAATCCACGTTTTCATGAATTTGACAGAGAACCAAGAAATAATAATTTCTTATTTTCACGTTTTTTACATGACTTAAGTGTTGTAAATGTCAAACCAAACGCACACTTAATATGTCCCTAAAATTATATGATTGTTCATCTCTTTTTCAGCATTATCATAAGAGGGGATTGTGTCTTTTACCTCAACCTTCATAACTCTCATTTTATTTTTATCACCATCATTAACTGTTGTAGTTTTAGTATCTCTCATTTGTTTTTGTCCTTTTGTGTCTTATTTCCTTTTGTAACCGTATCCGTTCACATGCAAATATTCTTTCCAACTAAGACCATATATTTCATTATTAACATCAGGGTTTGCATGTAAACAACCTTCATGGCCTAACCCATGTCGTATCGTCTGTAAAAAGGGTAACTATCTTTGTGTAACCTTGAGAATGATATCTAACTGTGTGATCATCCAATTTGCAATGTTTACACGATATATGAATGCCTTAGTATTCAATCTTGAATGATTGATTATGAAATCAAACTCACATAACTATTAGGTGGTTTAATACAATTTTGATACAACATGAGCAAATTTTCATTTAGAGGCATCAATTGTCCAATTATCAATCTTTATATACATTATCACTGTAACAACTAACGCTACGAAAATACTATTATCCTAATACCCCATACCAAGCTAACAAATTGTATCCATACCAAATTATTATCAAATTGACTTCAAAATAACTAAAATTTGGATCTTGAAACTAAACTGTAAGGTAACGATCAAATATCATTTAAGAAATGACATAAATTATTTTTATTTTTTTATCTTAAGCTATATAAAACCTAGCAACATAGAAAATCATGTCTCACATCAAACACTTGAAATCATCTAAATGGCTTCAACATATTTTATACCATATAAAATTTAATGTTTTCCCTAATAATTTCCTAAGTACAACTTATATATAACTTATAAAAATATTTTCATTGACGAAGCATCTTGATTATACGGGATTATAATTAACGATCGAACTCCATTTTTAGCCCACCTTTTCATCAACAAATTCACTTTTTATTTTAGTTTGATAAAAAAACTATATCTTGATAATTTAGCCCCCAAAAAATCTTTGATATGGGGTTGTTCACTTGTCCTTCTATTCCATCGGGAAGTTTTGTAGGGTAGGAGAACCTTATTTAATTTCTATGCCCACCCAACATTTTATCTTACTTTCAATATTATTTGAATAAATTTAGAATTCGTTTTGAATTAAATAGTGATAGAGCTGGCTCTTAAATATAAATATAAATACAAATAAAAAACACATGAATATAAAATGAAGTAAATGTTTAATAAATTATAACTAATCATGTTTAATGTTTAATACTTAAAAATTTAAGATTAGACATAAGAGATTAATTATTACAAAAAAGAAGTAAAAAAGGTAAAAAAAAATAAAAAATTATTTAGTTTAGTGATATTTAATTAAGGGAGAAAGTAAAATTAAAAGTTAAAATAAAAAAGAGAGCATTATATGCGTCGTTGACGTGTTCATCCTCTGCAACTGCAACAGACCAAAGTTGTTTCTCTCTCTAGGGTTTCCCTCTCCACTACCGTACTTTCATCGGATCGCTGCCGTTTCCGGCACCATTTCGATAATTCGGCGGCATGAAGCTCACAGTGAAGACTTTGAAAGGGAGCCATTTCGAAATCAGGGTTCAGCCCTCCGACACTGTCAGTAATCTCCTGCTCAATTCAGCTCTCTCTCTCTCTCTCTCTCTCTTCCCTTTTGGTTCCACTCTTCGGTATCACTAGTTGCTTTCTTAGTTATAGTTATTTTCCAACCTTCCATTTTAACTGAGTCAAATATCTGTACGACTTTCTAGATTCATATGATTTATTTTTCAAAATTTTGGGAGCCAACTTTTTCTCCAAATCATTATCGTAATTGTTATTACGTATTATTCAAACTCATCCGCCGTTGATTTTGTTTGTATCTGTATCTCATACGTTCATTTTATCTCCACCAACATTGTACAAATTCATTTAGTATTTCGTGGATGCTATTATTACTTTTATTACTGTAAGGATTTTGTATGTTCCGGGTGTGATACTCTGTCCTCATATGTGATGCTGTTTTTGTTTTTATTAAAGATTGTTGGTACTGTATGAACTGGGTTTTAGGTATTTTGCTCCCTTTTTTATACATTACACTGAATATAATCTCGATTTCGTGTTGCCTATTTTACTTTAACGTGAGTTCCTAGTTAGAATATGAATTTGTCACCAGGCTTTATGTGGTATTCGGTAAGTTTCAGAAGTACTATTTTTGAATCCTGTTGATTATCAGCTCAAATTGTCAACTTGTTGTTTATTAGCTGAAGTTTCCTGCTTTTTATCACATCAGGTTATGGCTGTCAAGAAGAATATTGAAGATGTACAAGGCAAAGATAATTACCCATGTGGACAGCAACTGCTTATTCACAATGGCAAGGTTTTGAAAGATGAAACTACATTAGCAGAGAACAAAGTCTCTGAAGATGGCTTTCTTGTTGTTATGCTTAGTAAGGTATATTTCTTCTTTCAAGAATACTCTTTCCAACAATTGCTTAGGCAAGTCAGCTCCATACTATTTTCTTTCAATATTCCCGTTCATTAAGCTTTCAGCATGATTTGTTTATATTGTAAGAGATGCCGTCTAATAACCATAATTTGCCTTATTTATTCTCTATTTACAGAGTAAAACATTGGGTTCTGCTTCAGCTTCATCTGCTCAGGTATATATTGCTGCTCATTTTTGGAAGTTTTCTTTATTTTCCAGTTTTCCTTCTCTGTATTAGCTATCGTGAATCTGCATGTCAGCCTGCCACCAATCCTTCTACGACTGTACCAACATCAATCACCACACCTGCTTCTGATCCTCCAGTACAAACTCTGTGAGTCTATCTTTGACGAGGTTGATTTCTATATCAGCTGGTTTTTGTCCTAATTATTTTTATCTGATTTTGCAGGGCTGAAAATAACAGTACGACTAGCACAGATGTCCCAACTACAAAGTATGTTTGTCTCTACATTTCTCTTGAGATATGTTAACAAGTTCTACTGAATTTTTTATTCAGGAAGCTACAATGCACTCCCCTAAAATAGTTACTGAGTGAAGAATGGTGAATTGTCCTTTAGAATTTTGATATTTAGTGCTACATTCAAGAGGAAAAATGTTGTTTTAATTTGAGTTTTAATCTTTATCATCATCCATTTTCTATAACTGTGAGTTTTGCAACAGCCATAGTTCTCATTTAACCAGATTAGTTATTATGATTGACATTGTAATTCTAGAAGCAGTACAGTTCTCAATTCAAATATTTTTACTGAATGCTCTTTGAGATACGTTTGGTTATTGTGCTAGTCACTGATCCTAGTTATTATGTCATGTAAGTTGTTTGGCGGCTGCTTATCATAAGATTCATAACCTTCATACCTTCATTCCTCTGTATTTTTGGCTCGTATGCATTGTTGGGATGAGTTGTTTTTTGTTGACATTGTTCCCTTTCCTGTCATCAAGCCTTCTAACAAATGCCTCTGCATCACTTTTTGCAGTGTGTCTGCCAATACTTATGGTCAAGCTGCTTCGAATTTAGTTGCTGGTAGTAATCTTGAGCAGACTATTCAACAAATTATGGACATGGGTGGTGGCAATTGGGACAGAGACACTGTCAGTCGTGCTCTTCGGGCGGCTTATAATAACCCAGAGCGTGCTATAGATTACTTGTATTCTGTATGTCTAAACTGCTTGTATTTCTTGGCTGCTTAAATTTTATGTAGTATATGTTTAGATTTAACAATCTTCATTTTTTGTGTTTTTGCTTTTGGCAGGGAATCCCTGAAGCAGCAGAAGTTGCTGTTCCAGTTCCTCACTACCCAGGTAGTCAGACAACTGAAACTGCTGGGATTTCTTCTGGAGCAGTTCCTGTTGGACCCAATTCATCTCCCTTAAATATGTTTCCACAGGTAAAACTTATGATACTGAATGGTTCATCAAAAGTAATATAATCTTGCTATTTGCATCCTTTTCTGTTATTATTAGTGCCTTATTTGAAGCCGTCTCTCTTTCAGGAGACGATTTCTAGTACTGGTGCTGGACTTGGATCGCTTGATTTTCTTCGAAATAACCCCCAGGTGAGTTCGTTGCCCTATCAATTGTTATTCTCTTTATGTTAGAAGACATATTTTTAACTATCCAAGTTGTAAGAGATTTTGGTTATATTACTCTATAGGTCCGTATACTTTTACCAAAATTTTAAGTAGGCAGGTCCACCTTTAATATATATGGCTATCCTATGCTTGGTGTGCTCTTTTAAATGAAGCTTCATTCTTTTGTCACATGTGCAGAGTCTAAACCATCTCAGGCACAAATCTACTATCTTTTTCTTAATAGGAGTTACTTGCCTAATATAATATTTGCTAATCTTTTCTTATCTTGTGTTACCACAACTCTCATTCAATTGAAAGTTCTCATTCCCACATCACTTATGATCTTGGGCCATTAACACCTCATTTTCAGTGCCACCATAAAGCATCACTATGTGAAATAAAACTTTCCTTCTTGCTTAAGATGAACCTTTTTTATCGTAGATACCCCTGAAACATTCATTCACCGAGCTTGAATCCTTTGATTTAGGTCTCCATTTGTTCACCATTTCTTTGTGTTTTAGATCCAAGATATCTAAACTTTAGGATGTGGTATGGGTGATCTCTAATTTTCTCCTCCCAGCCTGGTGGCTCTTTGCTGAACTGACATTTCATGTACTTTGCTGCTCTGCTTGAAAGGAAGACATGATTCCAAAGCTTCTTTCCAATCCTTTATCTTATAGAAGTTCCATAAGTATAAAGATTATGTTGTGAAGCATGCTCGTCTGTTAGAAGTACTTTGTTATTTTTAATGCATTGTGATTGCAAACATACTTTGATAGATTTGCCTAGTCAATAAACTGTAAAACATATGTTATTCTTTCTAGTGTCAAGCATAGGCATCAATAGGGAATAGTGGCGGAGCAGTCGCTCCCAAAACCACTATAGCAGATAGTGGGATGACTATTATTTTGAACCCCACGATAGATTTATGTTACACAATGTATATATGCTGAAAGCCGAAAAGGAACAGAGAAGAAAAAGATGGGTCTTCATAAACACTGTAGTTTGGTTGGCAGAATCACCGGAAAAAAGATGGGTCACTGCTGGAAAATCAAGAACTAGGTTGTGGATGTTGGAGGTTGACCAGAAAAGATCTCTGTCAGCACTGGGCTGTGGTGAGCAGTGCTGATTGGAGCTGCAATGGCAATGGGAGCTTGGAACAGCGTGCAATGAGAAGTGTGGAAGCTAGGCTGGGGTGTTGAAGAAGAAAGTGTCAAACAAAGAAGAAAGGGCTTATAATATAAAGGGATAGGGTTTTCCAAATTTACCCCCATTCAAAAGCATAAAATGACACTAAAAGGATGGTAAATTGGTCCTCTGCCCTGTCACACTGTGAGTGGTCGCAAAGGGTGCAATTTTGGACATGACGGCTATATGATTTGAAGATGCACTGTGATGGCATCCCCAGGAGTAGGATCAGCCCGCAATGTGCTGTTGACTACTTTCTTTCAAGCTTTTATATGTAGCCAACCACATGCATCTATTGGGATAAGGCTTCTTGTTATTGTTGTTGTATCTAGATTTAATCAATATTTTCATAGTTTTTAAGTGACCATTTCTCTGTCTGTCTGCATTTTCAGTTTTAATCTTTATTTTCATAGTTTTTATGTGACTATTTCTCTGTCTGCATTGTCAGTTTCAAGCCTTGCGTTCAATGGTGCAATCCAACCCACAAATTCTACAGGTATTCATGTTCTCAATTACCTTCCTGATTTGGTCATTTCCTGATGTCTAATGATTGCCATTTTCCATTGCAGCCTGTGCTTCAGGAACTTGGTAAGCAGAATCCCAGTCTTTTAAGACTGATTCAAGAGCATCATGGGGAGTTTCTCCAGTTGATAAATGAACCTGTCGAGGGTTCTGAAGGGTGAGTTTATTGCTTGGCTATATATGGTATATCTAGTCATCCGTTTTACATTTCCTAATCCTAACCATTACTTAAAGGTTCCATTATCTTCATATATTGTTTCAATTGTTGGTTGTCAAGTTTTTTCCCATATATGCAACACGAAAGAAACATTTCTATTTGTTGGCTCAAAATCCCATTCTCATATAATATTGAATCAGGATTTTACTTGCTTCAATTTGATGTTTTATATTCACGTAAATTTTGAATTAGAAACGTATCCCTCTTTTTTTTCTGTCAGAGATATATTTGACCAGCCTGAGCAAGACATGCCTCATGCCATCAACGTGACTCCAGCTGAGCAGGAGGCAATTGGAAGGGTATGTCTCTCCTTTTTTTAGTCTAATACGTGCCACTTTCATTCATTACTGCTGAGTAATCTTATTATGCGTTGGTTGATTTTTACTTATTATTTGTAGCTTGAGGCTATGGGATTTGATAGATCCTTGGTCATAGAGGCATTTTTGGCATGTGATCGTGATGAGCAATTGGCAGCCAACTACTTATTGGAAAATGCTGGAGACTTTGAGGATTAAATCAGAAGACTACATTAATTTGTTTTCCTGGCGAAGCTTGGAGTTAGGAACGCAACCTCAAGCTTGAGTCCTTATTTGCTAACTGATGCCATTTGGGGTGACTCTGCTGCGGCTTTGGTTCTTCTTTTTGATGTACCCAAAAAAATCTCTAACCTACATACATCGATTCATAGTTTTGTTCGGCCTCTTGTTATTTTTTTTAAACTTAGATGTGTTTTGGAAAATATATCGGGTACAGTTTGGATTTATCCATATTTCATCGAAACAATGGACTGCATCAATTGATTTTAGAATCCGGTTTATTTGAAAGAATTTCAAATTTTTTATTTCCTGATGAAATATCAAAGGTCTAACAGTAGGGTTTATCCTCGCCTAAAGTGAGGAGATATATAAAGGTGAAGAAAATTAAGATTTTGAATTAAACTATGTTGTAAATTAACGATGGATAGATAAATCAAATTAATTCCAACCATTTGTCATGTTGATGATTGGGTGCTTGTATATTGCAATTGTCTGTTCTCCGGATTAGCCAACAATAAAGAGGGATTGCATAAATATAATATTTGTGGCACTTAACAGGTGTTCGGAAGTAAAATTTTAGAAGTAGAAAAGATGGATAGATTTTTCATTCTAAATAAATGTTCTTTAATGTCATAATTTTCAACTCAAGAAAAAAAAATGATAGATTAATGCCAGTTTAATGTCGTAATATTTATTTTGTCTATGTTGTAAATATATATTTTAATTTGTAAAGTTTTTATTTGATTTTATTTTCCTCTCATTCTTTATTTTGCTTGTCAATGGACATTTTTGTCCAATTCATATATTGATTTGGAATGGTTCATTCAATAAGTATTTAACTATTTTTACATATTGTTAAAACTTATTTATTTTCACTTGATCCATTTATTTTATAATCGAATAAGTAGAAATCGAGAATTTTTTTTCCTTTTTGACACCAATTTTATTTTGTTAAAATTAAAATACTTTTGAAAATATTTGGAATAATAATTAGGGATTCACTTTTACTAAAATGAAATGACATGTGATTTTTTTTATGCATCGAAATTATAATTATAATTATAATTATAATAATAAAGTTTGAATATCTAAAATTCTATGGATATTATCTCAATTTTCTTATGATCAATGGTTCAAATGACATGTAAACTAAGAACAAATAAAAAAGAAAAATTCACCCTTAATTTTTTTAGGTTTTGATATGTTTTTTTTTCTTTTCAAATCGTTCTAGCAAAATTTTGATCATAACATTTCTAAATATAAAATGAGTTAAGGTAAATATATTATCTTATAATAGGCAAATATATTAATATGAATTGAACAATTATAATATAAAAAATAGAATTCTGAAATGAAATAGTATTTGTTTGTTTATATAAAAAGTTAAAAAGTGTGTATCTAGAAGAAGCGATTGCCTCTGCTTGCGGCTTTATCAAATCCCTAACTCTTGTACCTTTGGAAATGGCGATGGCGTCATTCGTGGGCGTGGCTTCGCAGAGCTCCCTCTGCACGCGTCTTCTTGCTTTCCACCCATTCCACCACACGCGAACTCCGTCTCCTTCTACCGTCAGCCTCAAATACAAATCTCAAGCTGTGTGTCTCAAGTCCCACTGCAATGGAGCAGCGCCACCTGTCATCGCGTCCACACAAAGCGATATCCTGCGCGGCTCCACTCGCACGGTGACGACGCTGTTGGGAATGGCGGCGTTGTTGCTGAAAGCGATTCCAGTGAGTATGAGTGGCTATAGCAATAGCAATAGCATTTCAACGATGGGTGCGTTGTTCTTCGCTTCTTTGCGGGACCGGCCGAGCGGCGCCCTGAACACGCCGCTGACGGTGGTGGCGGCGGGGCTGGGGAAGTGGCTGGACATATATAGCGGGGTTTTGATGGTTAGGGTTTTGCTGAGTTGGTTCCCAAACATCCCCTGGGAACGCCAGCCTCTCTCCGCAATTCGAGACCTATGCGATCCCTATCTCAACCTCTTCCGTAACATCATTCCCCCCGTTTTCGACACCCTCGACGTTAGTCCTCTTCTCGCTTTCGCCGTCTTAGGCACTCTCGGCTCTATTCTCCAAACTGCTATGTGAAAGGTACTTGCTCTATTTCTCACCCTTTCTTTTTATTCTCTTTCAATCTTTATCTCATTTTCTCTTTTTCTATCGCTTAGGACCATGCTTCTCTTTTCTTCTTCTGCCTCCGCTCATACCTCCTCGCCTATTAGGTTATACAATACAATGTTTGTTTCCTACTTATGCTCCTCGCCTTTCATTTTCAGTTCACTGTTTTGAGTTAACTACTTCTGTTTTCATTCATATTATTTCAATATCTCCTCTGCGCAAATTCCATTCCAATTCTACTACTTATTTATGCACTCTCTCAACTAATTCTAACCAAAAATGAAATAAGCTTCTCTATATATTATATGGACTAAATAATTTGAATAAACTCACTCTTGCTACCTTATCTAATTTTTTTTTTTTTTTAGTTTATGGAAAAGTTTATTTCAATTTTCCTTGTTTTTTCTTTTACAATAAGTTTATCCTAACCAGATAACATTGTCTAACTAACCATGTAACAGCCTTCTAATATGCTTCAACTAACCACTTCTGAATCACCATTGTTCTAAGTTGTCATTCAATAGTTTTGTATGTCAACCTCAAGCCTGTCAGGCACACTGTCAGTTTCTTTTCTTTAGGAGAAAAAGGAAATATATAATCACCTCTTAATTTGGCACTAACTTTTTTAGTCTGCAATTGCAATGAGCCCATAACCTGTTACTGGTGATCAGTTCTACAGCATTAGATTTTTCATTATGTGGTTTAATTTAGAGGAAATTATGAAATTCATGATAATATTATATTAGTCTTTCAAAGAAATTATTTTCGGGTTGATATTTAAAAATTTATGGTTAAACTATTCTCTTGGTTCCTATAGTTATCGTTATTTTAAGTTTTAGTTTCTATATGAGAAAGCTGTAAGTTTTGGCCCCTACATATGTATAAAAGTTAAGTTATGATATCTATTGCAATAACAATTCTGATAGTGATAAACTGCTACAAAAAGCTGTGTAGTTAAACTGACTTTTTTTCGTAAAAGGACTAAAACTTAAAACTGATACAATTATAGGAAATAAGGGAATTGTTTAACCAAAATTGAAAATGTCATTACAACTTATTTATTTTATCATAACTTCGAATGCAATATTTGAAATTTGGAATCGGTAAAATTTAATTCTTTATGAAGTTATTAAATATGTTAATTTTTATAGAGTTTCACACGTCTTGTTCTGTGTGTGTGTGTGTTTTTATACTTGCTAAAGTTTCTCCTCACCTTTTGTAGTGTGCTCCTCTTAAAGTTTAGGATAACTTCATTTCATTCTTCTCCTCACTAGTCACTATGGCACTTTTGCTCAGCTAGGCAAATTTATTTGACTGGAAAAAGTTTTTGCTGCTTGTTTGATTGTATCATGGATTTTAGAATGTGAAAACATTCCACGTTTCGTTATGTAGATCAAATATATACGTTGCCTTTTTATAGTGTTTTTTTAAATTAAAATCATTTAATTGTTTTTGGGTTAGACTAATAACTACCTAACTCATGGTTGGACGGCTGACTTAGCCTTCTCAAGGTTAACCTTCGGTATGAGTTTTACAATTATGGTCATACTCATTAAAAGTTATAACATCATTTTTTTTTAATCTATAAAAAAGATTGTAAAAAGACAGCGATGAAGATGAAGATTGAACTTAGGTCTTTCTGCATATCTTTGTAACTCCTTTATCCCAACCAATAGGCTTATCCTAATGGTCAATAAAACATCATTTGATTCAAGTTTAATTTTTTTAGACTAATTAAAAATGTTTAAAATTTTTCAATGGTGGTATTTATGATGGTAAAACTTTTTCTTTTTATAATCTGGCTATATATAATTAGATAATAGTCATAATACAATAGTGACAGACAACAACTAAAGTCTTTTCTCATTAGGTAAAGATTTGTTATATACATCAAATGAGGTCCTTGTGTTATATCGAAAGCCAGTTCTTTATCGGGGCCATTTAGATGCAATTCTGCTTTTGGATTGAAATTTCATGACTTTGAAATTACTTGTGACAATCGACCAGCCAACAAGATTTCAAAATCTTTATTAATTGTTCAGTGCGCAGTTGTGTATTTCGTGAGTTTTTTTTTTTCTTTTCCTAATATAAAGGCAAATTGAATATTGTTAATTGTTAACATCAGTATTGTCAATCTATTTTTATTTTGACACTCCATAATCTTAGCATTATCATGTCCTGTATATTTTTACATGTTGGTATTTTTAATGTGCCAATCGATATATTTTTTTAACAGCAGCAAAATCATTCCAATATTTTCAATTGAAGCTTTTAATGGTTTTCATCGATTTGTAATCAGAGTTATCTTCAATTTAATTACCTCTTTTAACTAGAGCTTTCTGTGATTTTTTTTTTTCACTGTCAAATTATTTAGTATCTTACGTTCTTTTTGGGTATTAGTATCGCTGGTTTATGAGTGTGAAATACATGTTCCTTTTAATTTTTTAAAACACCTTCCTACAGGTAATGCTCGAAATCTTACTCCATTTGGCGTAACGATCGGATAATACTGTTGTAACTATATATCGAAATGAAACTCCATTTTTAATGGCAACTTGCGCATAAATATAATTTAAGCAAGTAAAAGCATCTGCTCCAACAATTAACAAGAAGCACAAATGATGTCTTGAGAATCAAAAAACTTCTGTCTTTGGATATACGCAAACTTGTTTGTAGGCCTTCTCCTACATCTAATGCGAACAATTTCAGCAACCACTAACTTGGGTTCAATTGCATTCGAAAAATTTACAACGCTCCAACTATCGATAGCGATTATTATTACTATTATTGCTACTTGGATTATGAAAGCAGCTAATTAAGCTCCAAAATCACAATATATCAGAAGAAATGTAAAAGGATAAAGATAGTGCCTTCCATATTCCAATTATAGTTGCTGAAATTTGATCTGGAACTATATACTTGACCTGACCTTGTGTTAAGCCGAGTAGGTATTACTGTTGACCATTTGCGCGCAAGTAATGGCAAACAGATCATATATACCTGCATTACAGTTGGTATGTACTACAAAGATGTGGAAATAATATTAAATTGATATATTTAATGTACCAGAACTCATTCACTTCTCATTATATTCGAAGTACCACGAATGTTCATTACTTTGAAAACAACTTTTGCTTTTTGGGGTAACAAAGCTATTGCACTGAATTTTCTAGCAAGTGAAAAAAAAAAATGAAATTTGAAATCTTATGTGTTTGAATTTACATTATATAGTTTAAAACCACGTTGGAATAAGAGCTGATGATTTTGTGTTAAATAATTAAGAGTCTAAAGTTGAATTTTAGTTAAAGCAATTTTGGTCAGATTTTGCATGTAATAAAGAAATATAAAAAATAATCATTCGACTTCAAAATCAGTTTTAACTAAATTAAAATTACTATTAATTATGAGTGCATATACATGCACACACGTCACGGGTTGAAAATGTTTTTCTTGTGGTTTAAGCAAAAATTACATTCATATATGTAAAATGTAAGTAAAGAAACGTTTATGTATCTCACCGTATATATTATTTTATTCGCAGGATGCGGAATTGAAAAAGATGGAAAATTTATCATTGTCAATAATCTAACAAGCCTCTCAATCTTGCATATACATCTTATGACGAATGTGAAGCTGTTTAAAGTTTAAAACTTTTTTAAAAGATTTTTTACTGAAAATAAAAATTTATTTTCGGTAAAATAACTATTTATAGGCTTGTATTTAAATAATTTCTATATTTACTTCAATAGAAGTGTAACAATTTTTTATTAGGTTTACGATTTATTAAAAAATTATTCCGATAATTTGTTATTGACTTAAACATATGCTTCACGATGAAAAAATTGGCTATCAAAGAAAATCCCATATAGAATCCAAAGAAATATTTCTCAAATTGAATTGTTTATGCCAAATGATAGCCTTTATAGAATAAAGCTCCACCGATGAGTGTAAAATTATCCAAATTTTTTATTGTCTAATTTGGTACAAACGGTTTACATCGTGTATAAGACAAAGAAACGAGAGTAATAAACGTTTTCGAGGGACCAAAAACGCTAATATCCTGGTGGGCACGAAACCAAATATTTCAAGTAAATCCACGAGAACGAAGTATATACATATATATAATCAAAAATCGAAAGTACACTTCAGAAAAACAAATAATAATAAACGTTTTATGTTAAAATTTTAAAAAAAACGCTTAATTTGTTTGTGGGGTTAACCTCAACTCTTTATTTTTCTCATTTAAAGGGGCCTTTTCTTTTGAGATGGAGCGGAGGGATTTTTTTGTTTGTCTGGGATTAGGTAATGAACAAAATAGCTCGATTCTTCTCAACTATTACTAGTAATTTTTTTTAACAATAAAGGTATTTAGAAGTTAGTTTATATGTTAATCCAAACAAATCCTTGTAGTATTATTTTCTTTCTTAAATATTTCTTTAAAGTAAGAACACAAAAGTATTAAAAATTATGTTAATTAAACCTTTACTATTAAAAATTTATTCAAATGAATTCCTGAATTTTATTGAAATATATTTAAACCTACGGATATTCAATACTTTAGAAATTAATTATTTAAAAGAGAAAGTAATAATTTTAGTAATTAGTACGAAATTGGTAGTTAATTTTTTGTAAAAGAATCGGTAATAGAGTAAAAAAATATTAAAATGTCATCTAAATACAAATGACTGTGTATAATAACTTTGATAATTTCTATAACCATCGTTCTAAAAATCATACTAAATTTATTTCTGTTTGCTTACCGTCTATATGTAGAGAAAAATATCTTCTCTATTTCATATGTTACTAAATTTTTAAAAGCACAATTCACCATGTTATACTCCATCTATCATTATTATTTATTTAGCTAAATCTTAAGAACTAGAAGAGATAGATAAAAAAAAAAGGAAGATCCTTACTAGAAATGCATATTCATTAATCTCATATTGTTTAGGAGAAATAAATTTTGATAAGTGGCATAAAATTGATATATATTGGTTGGATTTGTTATTAACATGTGTGAAAGGATTTGAATAAGAAAAAAGAAATGAAAAGAGAGAGTAGGTATGTGTGTTGATGGGTTAATAATGATATTTGGGAAATAAATTATACGTTGCTTGGTTTGGTGGTTTTTGCGGGACGAGACAACCTACCAGTTGTTGAAGAGAGAGAGTTTTAACTTTTAATAATAGTGGTTACTTGCTTTGGTTGAGAGAGAGAGAAAGTGAAGTTTTGAAGTGTGAAGTGAGAGAGAGAGAGAGAGAGAGAGAGAGAGAGAGATAGAGAGACGGATACTGCTTCTATGAAGATGGGATCTCAAACTCAGCAGCGTCTTCACCACTCTCTTTGATTCTCTTCTTTCTTGAGGTACTTACTTTCTTCAGATCTTCTCTCATTCACACTCTCACATTGCAATAACACTTTGTTTTTCTTCACTCACGCCAACCTCGATGGATGGATCTCCCAACAAGTTTGCATTTTGAGGGAGATCCATTGCTCCCCTCTTTATCTTTCCTATAGATCCACTAACCCTATCTTCAATTTTCCTTTTTCACCATTCCTTTCAAACACACTCAGTGCCTACACTGCTTTTATGTTTAACTTCCACTGATATTATGACTTTCACTGGATTCTGTTGGAATTCCCATTAACAACGAACAAATGCACCCACTGTTTCACTAGCACAGCTCAATGCAACCCTTGCCTTTTTACTTCCTTATGTAAATTTGCTTCCAATGGATCAAGCAAATATCTATAAACATCCTGTTTCTCATATTTCCTTGGCCCTCATAGTCTTATTATTGTAGCCTTTTCTTGATTCACTCACATTGCTTTAGTCACATGCTCAATTCATTCAATACAAGGTTAATTATCTCACTGCATTATCAAGTATCAACTAAGGAAAAATATGGGTTTTCTTTGTAACATTTTCAATAAGTTTTTTTTTTTTTCTCGATGCTTCTTCTCTCGATGAATGTGGATATCTATCCATCGGAGTCTTGAATTATGGCTAAAATTCTATTTTAATTGTCTTTTTCATTCCTCTGTTTTGCAGTATTGCTTTGAGTAACGCTTCAACAAACCGGTCCTGTTTCTTAATAACGCCTCTTTTGGGCTGCTTTGAAAAAGTCTGATGGGTTCGAGATTCCCATCTCATCAGCTCAGCAATGGCTTGTATGTATCAGGCCGGCCTGAACAGCCGAAAGAAAAGACTCCGACGATGAGCTCAGTTGCCATGCCCTATACTGGTGGTGACATCAAGAAGTCTGGAGAATTAGGAAAAATGTTCGATATCCCCATGGATGGCTCTAAATCTAGAAAATCCGGTCCCTTAAATAATGCTCCTTCCAGGACAGGATCATTTGCAGGTGCTGCTTCACACTCTGGACCTATCATGCAAAATGCTGCAGCTCGCTCTGTTTATATCACATCTGGTAATGTATCTGCTGGAGGCATGTCTGCTTCAGCCTCAATGAAAAAGACCAACTCTGGTCCATTGAATAAACATGGGGAACCGGTCAAGAAGTCATCTGGCCCTCAATCTGGTGGAGTTACCCGCCAAAACTCTGGTCCAATTCCCCCAGTTCTTCCTACGACCGGTCTTATTACATCTGGCCCATTAAATTCATCTGGGGCTCCAAGGAAAGTGTCTGGTCCATTAGATTCTACTGGATCACTGAAATCATATAGTTCCTTTGTAGCCCACAATCCTGCTGTAACCACTCTTAGCCTAGATGACGAGTATTCCTTCAGGAGGAACTTCCCAAAGCCAATATTGTGGTCTGTGATTCTGATTTTTATAATGGGGTTCATTGCTGGCGGTTTTATTCTTGGAGCAGTCCGCAATGCCATTCTCCTCATTGTTGTCGTAGTACTTTTTGGTACGGTTGCTGCATTATTCACTTGGAATAGTTGTTTTGGAAGGAAAGCCATTGTTGGTTTCATTTCTCGTTATCCAGATGCAGAGCTTAGAACTGCCAAGAATGGGCAATTTGTGAAGGTTTCTGGGGTATGTAACTTAATACTGTCACATGCATGTATAATACAATTAATTAAGCAAATAACCATGGGAAAAACACAGTCCTGCAAACACACACTCACACCAAACGACCCATGCTTTGGTTATTCATTTCTTCATTCATCCATTGCTTGGTCGATATTGCTTTTTATCTGACAGACATGAGTGACATGAATGGCTGGCTCGTGTCTCTTGTATGGAATTGTATCATCTTGCCTCTTGTCTATGTTGTTATATATTCCTAACTGTGGGAAACAGACCAATAATTTATTCTACCTTTTGAAGGTGGTGACCTGTGGTAATGTTCCATTAGAGTCCTCCTTTCAAAAAGTTCCTAGATGTGTATATACATCCACCAGCTTATATGAATATCGAGGATGGGATTCAAAAGCAGCAAACCCAAAACATCGCCGTTTTACATGGGGGCTTAGATCAGCTGAGGTAATTGCATTTATCTGTACGGTCTTCCCTTTTCAGATTGACAAGTTTTCAAATTTTAAAAATATTCAGGATTTCTTGATATGTATTTAGCATGGAGGTGAATTAGATAGTGTGCTTTCTAATTGAATATACTTTACTTAAATGAACTGCTGAGAGATAAACAATAAAGATACCAAACCATATGTAGAATTACAACACAAGCACTGAAAATATATTACTCTAATAATAAATACATGGATCACAGTTTCCCTTGTTACATTATATGAACTGATTAACTTCTATACCATGATTTTAGGACCTAACTAATTATATGTAGTTATGTACAATGAACCTGGACACCAAACTAAATTATAAGCGAAATTACATATCCAACCCCACCCAAAAGCTTGAGCATATAGATAATATCATTTATATGAACCAAGCTTGCTACCTAAGTAACTTATTTGAGTACAGAGGGATCTGGTAAGACATTGGCCATTTGATCCCTTGGAGATAACAAGGTTAGTGATCATATCCCCTAATAATATTTTTTCCTTGATGAAGTGATGGTATACCTTGATGTGTTTTGTCCTGTCACAAAAATTAGATTGGAAGGTGATATGAAAAGCAACTTAATTGTAACATATAAGTGTCATTTGAATTTTGCAAAACCTTTCTAAATTGAAGTTCTCCCAAAAGTTGTTTCATTCAAAGGAGCTAGCAAGCAGATGAAGCCATGGCTTGGTGTTTTTCTTTTGTGCTTGATCTTGTGACCGCATTTTGCTTCTTATTCTTCCTGGCTATATCATACTATTATTACCCCTATTGAGTACACAATTCCAGTAAACAGGATTGTTTACAAGTAGGAGAGCACGCCTAATTGGAATTTATGATTATCTCTTTATCTATGCACCTTCATAAGTAAACCTCTTGTAGGAGCTCTGTTAATATACTTTAGGATACACATGAATGACTTTCACATGCAGAATACAAGAATAGACTAACCACTGTCCCTGCAAAAAGGCATGTTTGGATGGGTAACCCATGAAGTAGTTGTACTTCCTCTTGGGATTTGAGTCTAGGGTCTAACTTAGTCCCACAAATTTGATTTGTAAGGCGAGGATTATCTGAGCTTTAAAAGCACTATTTAAGTTGTCTTTAGGTGATGTGGGACTAAACACACCCTATCAAGGCAATAATTGATGCAGCTCAAAGATGCTGCAATTAAAGTGGGCTAGGGTGACCCAATTAAGGCAGGACTGTTTCTCTTTGCATCCCCTTTTTCTCATTACACCCCTCCTTTGTAAGTTTTAAAATACTCAAAATGCTCCTCCCCCTTCTCCTTCCCTCCCCTTTACGAACATCCCTCCCTCATTCCCTCTCATTGGAACACCCCCCCTGTCTCATCCTCTCCCTTTCTCTCAACATTTCCTCGCTCCTCTCCTTCACCAATGTTGTCTTCTCCAGTGTGTTTCACTTTTTTTATTGTAGGTTGTTGCAGATGTATCGGAAACTAGTTTCCAGAGCTTTTAACAACATTCTTAAAACTAGTTTCCAGAATGTTTTTGCTTCAGAAATATTATAGGGTTCAAAACCCTTCCTCCCCTGTCATTCACCCAAAACTGACAAAAGTCACCTTTGTTTTTTACATTTTGACCTTCGTGCTTTACAGGTCTGTGTTCCCTTTTTCTCCTAATTTTTAACTAACGTGTTCTGTTTTTTTTCTATTAACTTCATTATTATTTTTCATTTTTTGACTTCATTCCTATGTTCTTATTGATCCTAGGTTGATAGTGATTGTGTGTAAACTGTGACTTATTATTTATCATGAATTTCTTTTTGGGTCATTTTTTTGGTTTAGCTTTTGTATATGTTGTGTATATTATATAGTTTGTAGTATAATATTTAAAATAACGATCATCTTGCTTGCCACTACCCTGCTAATAATATTTTTGGAACTGACTGCTTTATGCCTCTATCTGGGATTGATAACTATGATGATAACCATATGACCATTTCGTCTAGCGACAATGACAAATGATACATTCTAATTAGGGGCCAGGAAAGGAAGGAGACACAACTAATGATTGCTGAAGACAATAACACATACTAACATCTTCTTTGACTAGTTCTCCAACACAAAAAGGATTAGAGCCTATGGCTCCTACTATTGTGAAGGGAATCAACCAGGTTTTTCAAGTGCTTCAGAGCAGTTGAACCAAGGTGAGAGATTTGTGTTGCGTAAGCCTTAACATTATGGTGTTGGGCTATGTCTCAAACTCCAAGTGCTTTCACAAAGAGTTGGAATAGTAGCAAAGGGGAAGAAGAGGGATGAGGAGATGGCAATGATCAGTGAAAATGATGTACATGCCATATTTTAATAAGGGAACAACACGACAAGCACCTAAAGAACTCTTTGCTTGAGGTTTGACTCTAACTTATTTGCGTTGTAATAAAACTATCAATGGAGATGGTAACAAATTAATGCTCCATAACACTCATCAAACATTGGTGAGTCCAGTGGGAATTGAGCTCTAACTGAAAGGAAACCCTGAAGCTGAAATGACTCTTGTAATGCTAAAATTTGGTTTCTTGGAGCTTCTTGCACCATCTATTTGAAGTTATTGAAAGGAAAAAACTTTGTTATGATACTATTTCTCTATAGTTCCATCTAGCCTTCTTTTGAAGCCAGAAAAAGTATAAACAGTAATTGTAAGTGACTGAAGAAAAACTTTTTGTCAGTTCCCTTCTAACACTGAATGTACCTTCTTGCTTCTGATCGATGAATTTGGTGGCGTGGGCTATTTACGATGGAATTTATCTTCACTTTGACTATTAAGAATATTCTATTACTCTTAATAGGCATATCGTCATGCTGGTGCGTATACCTATATGGATTGGATTGTAAATTAGTCAAATTAAGCTTCTCGCTATCCTCGTTCGAACTGTTTTTACATGATGGGGGATTTCACAAGAATTTCATGTTGGGGATCAAATACTAATTATATTCTTTTGAGAGGACAAAACTACAAACTGTTTGGATTTTTAATTTTCAGAAGTTAAAATGTTTTGATCCTTTCACCCCCCCACCC